CTTTAGGATGTTTCCTTTTGGGTAGTGATAACCTAGTAGACGAATCCTTAGGTAAAAGACTATTACAATTTTGTCTTTTTGTACCCAAAAGCAAAACAGATATATAAATGAAGTCTTTTTTATTACATTGGTTTGTCATTTATTCTTTAAGCATATACATTTCAATTTGAAGATATTTATTATGTGATTGAATATATGTTTTGGAATTTATGGTGTAATGTTAGAAATTTTTATGTTTGTTTATTTTCATCTTAGTTATGTTAGTTACTTAATTCCTTTGTTTTAGTTCAGTTTTGTATTTTATGGAGAAATTTGGTATTTGCAGGTGCACTCATGTAAAAATAAGGTTTTGCACACATTTCAATATCATGAAATACGTGGGGGATGAGTTAGGAGGTTCAGAAGTGTAAAACCTGAAAAAAAAATTATTATTATTATTATTATTAAAAATCTTAATTAAAGGGGTAAAATAATAATTAATTGTTAAAGTACGGGTCAAAATGTAAATTTTTAAAAATTTACATTTAGAGACTATATATATATAAATAAATGGAAGACTTTTGTCTTCCACTTTTCTTCTCCAGAGGCGGTGAGCAGAGAAAGAGAAAAAGAGAAAAAAAAAAAAAGAAAAAAAAAGTTAGACCTCCTGATCTTCTTCCTCAGATCTACGAAGATTGAACCGTTTAATCACATCGAACCAAGAATTAAAGTTGCTCTACTCAGCGAGAGCTACGCAACGACACCAAATATCATATTTTTCTCCAAAAAAATACCAAAGATGATAATATAAGTCCAAGGTTTGGCAAGCTAAATTTGGACTTTCTTAGNTCTTAATTAAAGGGATAAAATAATAATTAATTGTTAAAGTACGGGTCAAAATGTAAATTTTTAAAAATTTACATTTAGAGACTATATATATATAAATAAATGGAAGACTTTTGTCTTCCACTTTTCTTCTCCAGAGGCGGTGAGCAGAGAAAGAGAAAAAGAGAAAAAAAAAAAGAAAAAAAAAGTTACACCTCCTGATCTTCTTCCTCAGATCTACGAAGATTGAACCGTTTAATCACATCGAACCAAGAATTAAAGTTGCTCTACTCAGCGAGAGCTACGCAACCACACCAAATATCATATTTTTCTCCAAAAAAATACCAAAGATGATAATATAAGCCTAAGGTTTGGCAAGCTAAATTTGGACTTTCTTGGNATTGATCAACGGGGTAATTACGAACACCCAGATTTTGGGGTGTCACAAGAAGTCAAGCCAAGACCAGTGCAAGCATAATTGAAGAAAATGTTTGTTCTACTGGTAGGTCTTCTACAGATTCAACTAGAGGCAGAAATTGATTCTACCAGTNAGTGGGTCAAATATTGGATTTATAATTAACCTTGTAATTAATAAAATCCTATTATGATTAACTTAGTGTAAGTTAATGTTAGTGGTTTAAAGCATGTTAATTGTACATTAGCATTACTTTATGTTTTAATGACATATCAAGTTTAATAAAATTATTAGCTTGTTATATGATTATGAAATAATATGCATGTTAAATGATTATTTAGCATATGATAATCTGCGGTGGACTTGTGCTTATGTTTATAGAATTAATAAACATATTGTTATGTTGGAGGTAATAAACATGCTAGTTGTGTAAATAGATGTGCCCTCTAGATATTTGTTTAAATACNATGTTTTGTTTAATTGTTTTCGTGTTTAATTCTATTACGAGTGAGTAGTTGTTTTCTAGTTCTATCGGATGAGGGAATCTCATCCGTGAATGGGGAATTTGAACAAAGTAAAGTTTTTCTATTGATTGAGTTCTTTCGATTATTTGAATGATTAAAGTTGAAAACACTTTCGATATGTATATCTTCTTACTTATTCGTAGACAGTTAAGTCTGACACGTGTAATTCTTAGAATCACTGCAATTGGAGTGAATTTAATTCTTTCAAAATCAAATCAATTGACTTGAATACACATTTGTTATTTATATTTTGGTGTTAGTCGAATATTTTTTTTCGTTTGAATACAATTTCAAGTGACTTATAGAAATTGGGTCAAAATACATATTCATGGNATCAATCACCACATAGGTGGTTGATCGTGGGCTCGAGAAAGTCGTACCAAGATCCGACTAAGTTGTTTGGAAAATTAAATGGTTAAACGTGTTAGGGATAGCAAGAAAGGCTAGATTCTCCCTTANATTGCATTATGCATGAGTTGTATTACATTCATAGGCGTTGACATAGGTGGGAGAGTGTGCATGGTATGAAATCAATCACCACATAGGTGGTTGATCGTGGGCTCGAGAAAGTCGTACCAAGATCCGGCTAAGTTGTTTGGAAAATTAAATGGATAAACGTGTTAGGGATAGCAAGAAAGGCTAGATTCTCCCTTAGGTGCAAGACCCGTTTACTTGATTTATAAACTTTCTGGCGGTACAATTTCAGAAAAGTTTAACGGCAAGAACGGAGCTGTGGGTGGGATGTCCTGAAAATCCGTTGATGGTTGGTGTCCCATTGGTGTAATACCATAAATCACCTCCCCATAAAAATACAAGAAAATGAATTAATTAGTCATTGAGTGTACATAACACCAATGACGGGGGCTTGGAATGTCCGGATACATATGCATGACATTTCATGTGTTGTGAGAGTTTAGGACAGGGCTCGGTGTTGGTTTTGCTTACGTGAGTCTCATCTCATGGCNTGTCCGGATACATATGCATGACATTTCATGTGTTGTGAGAGTTTAGGACAGGGCTCGGTGTTGGTTTTGCTTGCGTGAGTCTCATCTCATGGCATGATATGATTTATGACATTTGTTCGTAATAGACATATTTGAATGAATGCATGAAATGATTGTTGCATGTGACAGTTCATATGCATTTGGGTTGGTATTCTCTATAGGAGTTACCCTATTGAGCGGTGACTCACTCTTTATGGGTACATTTTTCAGGTATCGCGCAAAAATCCACCGAAGGCAAGGTCATGGGCCCTCTTTGACGACAGAGCTGGTCTGTGGCTCTTATTTTGACTTTGCAATCCCTTGTATATGTTTACTTTTGGCCTTGTATAATTTTTGTAAACAAAAACTTCTTTTATATTAAAAAGGCATGTATATGAAACTATTTTGAGACATTTATTCTTTTATAAATAAATGTACGTAGTGATGATGATTATGGTAGTATCCGATACTATACAATTGAATATAGATGAATGAACCCGGTGTAATTAATGTTGTACATGTTGCATTTTGGACAGAGCTCCTCGTACAAATGAAACTCTGCTCAAATTTTGTTAAGTTATAGATCCCAATAAATGGGGCATAACGGCAAGGTATCAAATTTCACGGTAACCAAGGGTATTCTGCGGGTTGATGATTGATCAACGGGGTAATTACGAACACCCAGATTTTGGGGTGTCACAAGAAGTCAAGCCAAGACCAGTGCAAGCATAATTGAAGAAAATGTTTGTTCTACTGGTAGGTCTTCTACAGATTCAACTAGAGGCAGAAATTGATTCTACCAGTAGAAGTTCATTCCTACTGGTAGAAGTAAAATAGAGAGTTGTTCTACTGGTAGATGACTACTATTCTATCGGTAGATTTGAAATAAAAAGTGTTTTACCAGTAGAAGAGAAGGGCATCCAGTTCGTGCAAAATAGTGAACAGTTCTACTGGGAAGTCATTTTTTGCTTCCTACCGGTAGGTTACTGTAATTCTACTGCGAGGACAGATTTGGAAAGGAAATCCGCCGAGTATTTTAAATGTTGTGATTGATGGATTAAAAGGAGAAAAATTAGCACATGGTCTCCTATATATACCCATGTCTGGCAAAAGAGAAGCATTGTTGATATCATCGTTAGAAGACAAAAATTCATCATTCACTTCACCATTTCCTCTCCTAGGGTTTGGAATTAGTTTTTCTTCTTTCAAGTGTTCTTTTCTATTGTTCCAATTACAAGCTTTGTTCAAGTTCAAGTTCTTTAATTCTTGCAACGTTATTACTTCTATAAGTTTTACTTTGTGAATAATTTACATTCTTGCAATTCGATTCGAGGTATTTACGTTTAGTGCAATTTCAATTCAAGTTTTATTTACTTTCAATTTCAATCATGTTTTGTTTAATTGTTTTCGTGTTTAATTCTATTACGAGTGAGTAGTTGTTTTCTAGTTCTATCGGATGAGGGAATCTCATCCGTGAATGGGGAATTTGAACAAAGTAAAGTTTTTCTATTGATTGAGTTCTTTCGATTATTTGAATGATTAAAGTTGAAAACACTTTCGATATGTATATCTTCTTACTTATTCGTAGACAGTTAAGTCTGACACGTGTAATTCTTAGAATCACTGCAATTGGAGTGAATTTAATTCTTTCAAAATCAAATCAATTGACTTGAATACACATTTGTTATTTATATTTTGGTGTTAGTCGAATATTTTTTTTCGTTTGAATACAATTTCAAGTGACTTATAGAAATTGGGTCAAAATACATATTCATGGTGAGATTAACCCTACCAATTAACCGGTCTTTTCATAAATTGTTACTTCTTAGTTGGTAATTTCTACAACCAAACTTTCAAAATTTCGTGGTTTTTATTTTCTTTTGCCTATTACACCTTGAACCAATCGTTTTACCGAGGAGATGATCTTGGTAATCAACCGAGTTACAAACATGATAACTTTCCTATTCTTGAAAATTCTTTGATTATTTAACCAACTCAAGAGCAAATAAATACATTGTGGGTAAGCCTTAAGGATTAAATTTATGGAAATTGTACATGGGCTAATCGATGAATTGATCGGATGATCTAGGTGAATCATACATGGGCTAGTTGATGAGCTTGTTTACACCCGGATTGTCTGACCAAGTTGACACGTTTGATCTAAAACAAGTCATACAAGATGTGTAAATGGTAACATAGATACCAACAACAAACCTTAAACCCATTTACAACAAGAAGGAACAAATGACACAAGCTATAGATGCTATTGAAAAGATAAGTAATGGCATAACTTATTGATAGCACTTCAAAACATCATTTGATACAGATACCATGTAACTCTTATAACTTAATACTGGACAACAAGCCAAAGGCTTACATGCTTAAAGTGGTAGATAGTAAACCAGTGAGACAACATAAATGAAAAAACAAGTGCACAAACAACTGACCATACGACAAGGTTATTTGGTATCCTCTAGTTACACATTTACAATTCTTTTTTTCTTTCTTTAACAATTGTTCCAGCTCCAAAATACAGGCATCCAAAAGATCTTCTATAGCTGCTGCGGTCAAGGTAGAGGGCATGAGCCATTACAAAACATACCCCTTCTAGTCCTCATTTTGTCCCTCAACTGAAACTAAGCTCTCCTTGAAACTGAAAACTGAAAGTCCACTATTTGTGCCATCTCCATGGATTCCAAGATCCGTAGTTTCGCCGGTATCATTGTCGTACAAGACAACCTGTGACGTGCTACTTTCAAACAAAAGATTCTCGTTCTTCCAAAACCCAAGTGGCCGCGTGACTTCTGGAAACGGTTCAACAGTTAAGAGTTTGGTCCAACACCCTTCCTCTTCCATCACCCATACATCAATAATAGACTGTAAAACCACATCCGTCTGACAAATAAACATAGCAATGCATTCATTGTACAATGTAATACTCCCCCAAGTTTTTTTAGGATGATCAGGCCCCTGTATCTCTCTAAACATCTCCGAACTCATATTAAATGAAAGGACACTATGATTCTCATCATTTTTAGATGAAATCCAGTAATAAGCTCCATTCACATATGTGGCACACAAAGAGTTGTGAATTGTACGGTTAGGAAGTTCAAGAGGGTTGGCATATCTCCATGAATCACTACCTAGAGTATATAGAGCAACAACATAAGAAGGGTAAGGGTTATCCGTTTGCTCATCCCAAAAGGAACGAATCCAAATAAACTTGTAATTGTTAGTCAAGGTGTCCAACCCAAATCCAAATATATGCCAAATGGTAGAGAAATATGGTGGGAAAATGGAGTGGGGTACAGGGAGGAGCCTGAACTCTCTAGTAGCAGGGTTCCACAGAGCCATGTTATCGTCAAGGCCATTGTGCAGGAAAAATAAACTGTCTATGGAACCAATCACAGTTTCCATACCCATGGGAATATGTAGACGGTCAATTTCCTCATGTATAGACAGTGTGCCCGCGAGTTTTTTATCGGGGAACAAGGCAGCAACATATGTATTAGTGTCAAGATTATAATGATGAACAAGGAGACGAGCATGATTGTTTTCCCGGTTTAAGTGCTTTCTAATAAAACTAGGCTTCTTAGTAAGAGTGTACCAATACTTGCATACGCACTTGAATCGCAATAGTGATTTCACCGGCAGCCTTGAGAGTATCTCAATCACAACATCTTCTGGCAATTTTGGATCACCAGTGCTCAACATTTTGCCCCTAACTTCAGTCAGTCCGTCTATCTTTTTTCTTCTCCTGGTCATGCAAAGATGAAGAGATTAACAGATTGGGGTCTACATGTTAAAAGGAAAATAATTTGTGACGCGCCTCAATCCCAATTCTAGAGATGAGATACACCAAATGAAATAGTAAGAACTTGACATGATGTTTATTGCTCTATGCATATATATGTACAAGGGGTTGGGTATGAGCTAAATACACAGCTTGATGACCGTGGGCAATCAAACTCCAATTCGGTGCTTTGTCCCAGACTTGATATGATTGTCTCTCACTCTCTTGTCTTTGTGTGAGTGTATGTATAAGAAAGCAGAACAGGAATATCCAACATCTACTTGTATCTTCAGTATTTTTTCTTCGACCAACCGAAAAAATAGATATTAATAGGGGACTTTGCAAAATCAATTATTGAGAAGACCGCAATTGCTGGCCTTATTACTCATCTGTCCAGCCTTGATGAGTAAAATCTTTTTAATTCATCCAAAAGAAAAAATTTTGAAAAAAGTTGCAAGACCCTAAATCCCAATTAAGACCAAAAAAATCAGACCAGAAACAAAACACAAGTACATGAATAAACAACGTCTGATCAAATCAATGAACTCATTAAGATAGACGAAATCAATCAAATTACTCGAAATCACTTACAAGATCTTCTGGAGAATATATTACCAGAAATTATGTGTGGTTTGTATCAACTCGGCTCGTTTGATTCTGAATGAATTCTCACGGTTGATGGAATGGGTATATAAGGTTGACGGCTATAGAGTGGAGCTACAGGGCTTTATCTCACTGTACAGTTTTATTCGAGGATTGATAAATACGGGTTGCCGACTGATTGGTGGGTATGACTAGAATAAGAGCAAAATATACTTGGGCTATCTAGACTATGCTGCTTAATTCATATCGNGGTGGGTATGACTAGAATAAGAGCAAAATATACTTGGGCTATCTAGACTATGCTGCTTAATTCATATCGTCCTCACAATTATTTATTTTCTAGTATTGTACCTTAAAATATTGATTTGAGTTTCACATTGTCGTAATTGTTTATCTGTGCCTAGTTTTGTATGGCAAGTCAGGACAATTATGTTATTTACAACATAATTCGTATCTTCTACTATTCCCATTAATTATGTGTTAGAGAAACTTGAGAGACATTATGAGTTAGAGAAATTAGAGGGACACGGAAGAGCATAATTCTTTACCAAGTTCTTTCTCTCTCATTTTGTTAGTATATGGCATAAATAACTATCGAACACTCCCCTCAGAAAAAAAAAAAACAAAAAAAAAAAACTATCGAACACTAGGTACAAAAGTGTCGACCTTTAACCTAAATTATTTTTAAGGCTTGTTTTTTTGTTGTATTAAAGGGTGAATTACATAACCATAACATATTAAAACTCTTTAATCAAATGTAATGTTGCATTGGTTGCCAAAAATACCCAATATAGACTTATTTCAAATATGGATATGAATAATACGTCATGTTCGTACTATTAAACTGATTTATAATACCACCTAATGTGATATTATAATCCACTTCAAGCTTATTTAGTGATAAATTTATTATTCTCCCCACCAAATAAACAAAAACATGAAAAATTATACTAGATTGATGTTTTTTTGGTCCATATGTAATTAATATTCTAATATTTTTATCTCATATTTCATATTGTATTTTTATTCGCTTTTATGAAATTAGTCTATATAANAATAAACAAAAACATGTAAAATTATACTAGATTGATATTTTTTTGGTCAATATGTAATTAATATTCTAATATTTTTATCTCATATTTCATATTGTATTTTTATTCGCTTTTACGAAATTATTCTGTATTACCTCATACAATCCATTCTTTTACAATACAACAACTAAATGAGCCCATAAATATAAATGTCAAAAAGTATGAAATTTTTTCAATTTTATGTATTACCCATGAAAAAATGTATAAAGACAACACAATACACCCCCTTAATAACTTTATTAATGTTATTTACAACCTTGGAAATACGGATACGAAATATGAGTACAATACGATACGGATACAATGATACAATAAAATCTTAAAAACTAGGATACAACTACGACTACGGTACGTATATATATGTACTAGCAATGCATCACGTGCGTTGCACATGAATAATTTTCGTATATAAAATTTAATAAAAATTTTTAGATATATGTGTGCCCAAATTAAATATTATCTCAAGTTTATAAAAATTATAATTTTATCATTCGTATTATATTATAGAATTTAAAAAATATTGTCTGATCCCAACGATTCATTGTTCTAACAATAAGAAAAAAAGATAAAAATAATTTATTTTGAAATTCATTTGTTTAGGTTTCAACTTATAATTCATTGAATAAAATAACAATAATTATCAATATTCTAATCAATGCTTATTTTTAAAGGTAACATAGTGAATTAAAAAGCTTTATAGATATTGATATTTATATATAAAAAATAGAGAATTAAATGAGATGTTAAGGGTAATTTGAAACCAATGAATCTTTACTCCAATGATATTCCTTAGCTTATGAAAGCTTTGCTAGGATGTAGTTTTGCAAACGGTACAAATATAATTATTGCCAGGAATTTGTACCATTTGCAAAACTACACATCAATTCATATTAGATAAATGATAAAATAAACTTTATCGTGGTTATCGTTGGCATAATAGTTGTTTTAATGATAATCTATTATTTTTCATAAAGTAAAGATGATTAATAGATTTATTGTAAACAAAAAATTTATGATAAGTAAATGAAAGAGAGATACTGTCATTAACTCAGGAAATAAATAAGTAAAAGTATAATACATGGAACAATAATTATTGTGAAAATTGAAGTATACGAAGAGTTATTTGAATATATAATTAATATTAGGTAATTAGAAAATAAATAAAAAAGTGCAATACATGAAACAATAATTCTTGTGGAAATGGAAGTATATGAAACGTCATTTGAATATATAATTAATATTAGGTAATTAAATAAATAAGGATATAGGTGCCTTTAATATATTTTGTAGGGACATAATAGGTAATCAAAAAATTTTCACTTAACTTTATTTTATTAGTCATATATATATATATATATATATATTACTTTTAAATGTCAAGTACCCTTGATAAAATATATAAAGACAGCATAATACACACCCTTAATAACATTATTAATGTTATTTACAACCTTAGAAGCACCAATATCTGTATGGGGACGTGAGTACGATATGATACAGATATGACGATACAATAAAATTTAAAAAGTTAACATATAGATATGACTAGGATACGTATATTTATATGTATATATATTATAGGATGTTATTACCATACTTGGAATATCGTGGATTAAGGGATAAAATACATCCAAATTACAATAATTTATGTTGCGGACATAGAGACTACTTTAATAGTGTTCTACATTAAATAAACTCTCTGTATGAACCTCCATGTTTAGGACAATGGTAATGACCTGAGAGACCTAAGAACCATTGATTTAATTTATTAGACTTAAAATAATTACGTAGTGTCATGCAACTTATGTGTATAATCGTAAGAAAAGATCTACGACGTATCTTTGGTATCGGAGTGTGGCTGCCCAGAGTTGCATTAGACACATTATAGCCATATTTTGTTTTTCTTTATTTACCAAGTTATTTGCATCCTAGAGATCTATTGTTACTACAAGTTAGTTTCAGATGGTGTCTCCAAATGAAAAAAGGTTCAATTGCACGACCACTTCTCTTTGACGGGTCTAATTTTGTGCATTGGAAAGCTCATATGAAAGCATTTCGAAAGTCGATAGATGCGAGAGTATGAGTTTGGTGCCATCCAGGGGCAATAGGGGGGCCAATACGCAGTCTATGTGCCTAAAGATTGAAGAAAGGGTTAAGGATGATGGAAGAAAATAAAAGTAAAAATCTCTTTGAATTTGAGAAGTTTTGGGTAACTAAATAAATAGGAAATTCAATTAAGAGAATGAATCAAATAATTTTCAGATTCCATCCCACCCATGTATATTCACACTCTAAATCTATAACTCATCTGAGTTCGCAATCAAACCCCCAAACGAAAGATATCCAACCAAAATCATTAATTAGTAAAAACTAGTGATTGTGATGACAAATAGATTGTTTGGAAGAATGCGAGTCCAATTGATTGTAGGGACTCTATTGTTTGGAAGAATGCGAGTCCAATTGATTGTAGGGACTCTAAGTATTATTCGTACCAAAATCAATTGTATACAAATAATAAAGAATATGGCCAACAAATTTGATTTTCGAAAGCAATTATTAAATCATTAAATCACATATATCGTGGAAACCTAGTTTAGATCATAAAACCTAGTTCAAGGGTTGGGATTTCATCTTCCGATTATCTAAAAAGAAAACTACTCAATCATAATGGTGACATTAAAATAAAGCATTGAGAAAGAAATAATTGAATTCAAAGAATAAAGATTGACTGGAAAGTAAATAAGAACTTGAATGTAAAATACCTNTATAATACAATCCATTCTTTTACAATACAACAACTAAATGAGCCCATAAATATAAATGTCAAAAAGTATGAAATTTTTTCAATTTTATGTATTACCCATGAAAAAATGTATAAAGACAACACAATACACGCCCTTAATCACTTTATTAATGTTATTTACAACCTTGGAAATACGGATACGAAATATGAGTACAATACGATACGGATACAATGATACAATAAAATCTTAAAAACTAGGATACAACTATGACTACGGTACGTCTATATATGTACTAGCAATGCATCACGTGCGTTGCACATGAATAATTTTCGTATATAAAATTTAATAAAAAATTTTAGATATATGTGTGCCTAAATTAAATATTATCTCAAGTTTATAAAAATTATAATTTTATCGTTCGTATTATATTATAGAATTTAAAAAATATTCTCTGATCCCAACGATTCATTGTTCTAACTATAAGAAAAAAAGATAAAAATAATTTATTTTGAAATTCATTTGTTTAGGTTTCAACTTATAATTCATTGAATAAAATAACAATAATTATCAATATTCTAATCAATGCTTATTTTTAAAGGTAACATAGTGAATTAAAAAGTTTTATAGATATTTATATTTATATATAAAAAATAGAGAATTAAATGAGATGTTAAGGGTAATTTGAAACCAATGAATCTTTACTTCAATGATATTCCTTAGCTTATGAAAGCTTTGCTAGGATGTGTAGTTTTGCAAACGGTACAAATATAATTATTGCCAGGAATTTGTACCATTTGCAAAACTACACATCAATTCATATTAGATAAATGATAAAATAAACTTTATCGTGGTTATCGTTGGCATAATAGTTATTTTAATGATAATCTATTATTTTTCATAAAGTAAAGATGATTAATAGATTTATTGTAAACAAAAAATTTATGATAAGTAAATGAAAGAGAGATATTGTCATTAACTCAGGAAATAAATAAGTAAAAGTATAATACATGGAACAATAATTATTGTGAAAATTGAAGTATACGAAGAGTTATTTGAATATATAATTAATGTTAGGTAATTAGAAAAAAAATAAAAAAAGTGCAATACATGAAACAATAATTCTTGTGGAAATGGAAGTATATGAAACGTCATTTGAATATATAATTAATATTAGGTAATTAAATAAATAAGGATATAGGTGCCTTTAATATATTTTGTAGGGACATAATAGGTAATCAAAAAAATTTCACTTAACTTTATTTTATTAGTCATATCATATATATATATATATATATTACTTTTAAATGTCAAGTACCC